TGACGAAGAAATGAAACCTCATGAACACAACATTGCTCAGGTGTACAGACACCAGGATATACGTCTATCTGCCGGTGAGAGTTTCGTTTGCTTGCAAAGAGGAATTCATCGTTGTTTCTTTGACTATATCAGTGTTTTATGCATGGATTCTTTCTTCATTGCCGATGAAGTTTCGGTTAGTGTGGCCTTTGATGGCCGTTGGTTTGATTTTTTTTCGAGTTTCTGCATTTTCTGAGAAGCGTCTTCGCTCTTTTTACGGAAATGGAATCTTAATTCCATTTCTTCATCCTACCCCTTCTCGTCGTTCTTTGCGTTTTGTGCAGACAAAAAGCAAAAGGGATTTGATGGTGTTTGTGACGAACGTGTTTTTTCCTGTGCAAAACCCCCCGGAGTATAAACAGCTGTTCAGAAGAGGTGGCTGCCCTCGGTGGCTGCTGGATCCTCGTCTGGGCCCTCCTCGATTATCTGCTGATTGGCTACCTTCTGCAGGCTGGAGATACGATGTACCAAACAGCACAATTATATACAGCAGCACGAACGAAGCTCGAGAGCCCCCGCATACATTTCCGTTCAACCTGTTTCTCCCTCGCCGCATGTCTTCTCGTTTCGCGCTGATAAAGCGGGACTTCTTCTGCCAAAATTCACAAATTCAAAGCACTATTCTGTTAGAGGGAGCAAATGAAGCGGGACTTCTTTTTCGTGGTATAGGCGAGAGAAACTTCTGGGCCGTTCTATTGCAAAAAGGAGGAGGTATTTATTTGATTCGCGTAAAGAACGGAGAAAAACAAATCCTGGGCACTGTCGGGAACTTCAGAGTTCAAGGTTCGTCTTCTTTTCGATGCATGCATGCATGCATCCATGCGTGCAGCTGGATCTGCGAGACTTCAATTAAATCAATTGCTCGCCTCAACAGCCGGCAAGTGGTACACCGTCAACGTTCAGGAACAAATCGGAGACGTCAATGTAACTGTCGGTGCGTGGGCTTTGAATAGAAGTCTGAAAGGCTGCTGAGGTGTACATACACCTCACTACGCCTGCATGCATGCATGCGCATCTATATACCCTTCGTTTCGCATGCATCTCAGCTGCAACCACCTGCATGTACACCTCTTTCTTACAGGCGCAGAAGGAGAAGAACCCGTGCGATACACGAGGCAACAGGAGAACATGGAGGAGGCGAGGCCTAAGGGATACGAAGAATGTACGCAGTCCGATCCCGATCCCGATCCCCCGATCGCTCGAGAGCCCCCGCATACATTTCCGTTCAACCTGTTTCTCCCTCGCCGCATGTCTTCTCGTTTCGCGCTGATAAAGCGGGACTTCTTCTGCCAAAATTCACAAATTCAAAGCACTATTCTGTTAGAGGGAGCAAATGAAGCGGGACTTCTTTTTCGTGGTATAGGCGAGAGAAACTTCTGGGCCGTTCTATTGCAAAAAGGAGGAGGTATTTATTTGATTCGCGTAAAGAACGGAGAAAAACAAATCCTGGGCACTGTCGGGAACTTCAGAGTTCAAGGTTCGTCTTCTTTTCGATGCATGCATGCATGCATCCATGCGTGCAGCTGGATCTGCGAGACTTCAATTAAATCAATTGCTCGCCTCAACAGCCGGCAAGTGGTACACCGTCAACGTTCAGGAACAAATCGGAGACGTCAATGTAACTGTCGGTGCGTGGGCTTTGAATAGAAGTCTGAAAGGCTGCTGAGGTGTACATACACCTCACTACGCCTGCATGCATGCATGCGCATCTATATACCCTTCGTTTCGCATGCATCTCAGCTGCAACCACCTGCATGTACACCTCTTTCTTACAGGCGCAGAAGGAGAAGAACCCGTGCGATACACGAGGCAACAGGAGAACATGGAGGAGGCGAGGCCTAAGGGATACGAAGAATGTACGCAGTCCGATCCCGATCCCGATCCCCCGATCCCGATCCCCCGATCCCGATCCCGATCCCGATCCTGAGATTGAAAGTCAAACAATTTGAATTGTGAATACAGCTCAGGGCGCAGCAGGGTTGATCGCAGGAGGAGGTTCTTGCAAGTTCCGCGGGACATTTGTGGGTGTGTCACTCAGTTGTTTGTTTTTTATTTTTTTTGCTTCTACTTGAGGCATTTTATATTCATTCGCTGCAACAGGAGACGTGAATTGGTAGGGGGAGCTGTTGTTGCTGTTCTCCTCTCGCCTCCTGCTATACATACACCGCAATTATGTTGTTGATGACTTCTGCAGGGTACCGCAAGCGCAGCCGCCGAAGATATCTGATAAACTGAAGGTGTTTATTCTTGTGTTTCCTCTTCTCTACTTCTATTTCAGATGCCTCTCTATCTACTTATTTATTATATTCATCTCAGGCAGCAACAACAGCACTGGGGAACGATGGGGCTGTCATTGCTGAGCTGCCGCAACACCTGAAGAATTGGTGTCCTGAAGGTTCGACTTATTTTATCTTTTTTATTTACTCTTCTCCACCTGCATGCGCCTCTATCCATGTATGCATGCATGCATGCAACAGGCTCCCTCTGCGCGGGGGCGCCATTCAGCTCCTGATGATGAGAACAAAGAGAGAAGAAAATAAAAGAGAATGCAACGGGGTGTACAGACAGACAGACAGTCAGCAGCTGCTACTTCCTTTTTTCCAGGTGTATCCGCAGCTTATTAACGAGGACTTCATTAAAACCATAAATGCGTAAAGATGAAGTGTATATACAGCTCAACTTAATAACTACCCTTCATTCCCCTGTTCTTCCCGTTGCTTCCCCGCTGCCTCTTTCGCTAAGATCTTCACCATGAACAACACATTAGACTGCATGCATGCATGCATGCATGCGTGCATGCGTACAAGCAGACAAGTTTGCATATATCTGCATGCATGCATGGAAGCGTTTTTTCAAAAGGCCAACAACTGATAACGGGTCTGTTGGTTTTGTTTTCGTTTAGAGATTTAAAATACCCGCAACCCGCTGTAACTACAGCCGGAACGATGCATGCGGTGTGCAGGCATGAACAGGCGTTTCTTCTTCACTACGCATTTACATTGTTTATTTATTCAAATATATATAATATATATATATTTAAATATACACACACATATGCATATTTACTTCACTGAATTGATAATAAACGCCCTCCTGCCTTCTAGGCAAGACGGAGCAGCAGAGCTGTCTAGACACCCCAACTGTGTCGGGATGGCTTCGTCTTTGAGCTTCTCGTCTTCATTTTTTTTCAAACTGCGGTGCCAATATTAACCCTGAGACTCCCAGGGCCAATCATTCGTCGTGTTGCTGCTGATTCTGCTGTTATTTTTGCTGCGGTGCGACTGCAGCAGCAGCTGCTGCTGCGGGTTTTATTTATTATGCTGCTGCTGTTGCTGCAGTATTGTGTTTGTTGGTGCTATCCTGAGGGCTTATACAGACAGCTACTGCAGCTGCTGCTCCCTCCTGATTCTCCTGCTGCTGCAGCAGCAGCAGCAGCAGCATAGCAGTAGCATCATCAGATGCGTGTGGTGTGCTCTGCACGAATAGCGTTGTCTTCTTGAAGTGCTGCTGCTTGCATCGGGGCGTTGGTGCTTCGACGAACAGCGAGGAGATCCTCTGAAGCAGATGAATTTCCGATATTAATAGGATACGAGTCCGCTACTTGCTGCAAGTAAGCTTTATTCTCCTCGCTGTGTACAGCACGCGCTATACCCACCTATAGAAAAAGACAAGAAAAACAACATAAAATAAATAAAATCAAAAGAAAGAAATTAAAAGGACATCATAAACAATTATATGTTAAAGTAGATAGTGAAAATACATCATGAAAGCGAGTTATTGAAATACGAAGACAAGAGATATTCATAAAGAGATATTTATAAAGAGATATTCATAGAGATATTCATAAAGATCTAATCGTAAAGAGATATTCATAAAGAGATATTCATAAAGACACGGTGAATAAAGATATTCATAAAGAGACAAGGGAAAGAAAACCCACGAAAAAGATATATAATAAAGACTTGCAGCCAAAGATACATCAAAAAACAGACAAAGAAAAAGAGGTACTGGTAGACAGTAATTCAAAAGAGTCATCCCCACGTATATATATATATATATATATGCATATATATATAATTTATACATCTATAGGAGGACACTTACAGGTGATGAATATATACACACACGTATATATATGTATATATATATATATGTATATAGAACGGCTGCAGGCAACATTATATATATTTATGTATATATATATACATATATATACATTATATAATATATAATATCTTGTCTGTGGATACTTACTAAGGAGGGGTTAACTCCATCAGATCTCCTAAAGACAGTGAAGAAATGCCTCATGAAGCTCATAGCGCCTAAAATGTAAGCGTGCCCGAAATCCGAAGGAACATCAATTTGCATATATGCGGGTTTGCATATATTTGCTTTGCTGCGCACTAAGTAATCTTGCGGCTCCAATACAAAGCCCACGCCTCCCTAAAAATAATCATAACAATAATAATAATAATAATTATTATTATTATTATTATTTTAAAGACAATGAAGAAATGCCTCATGAAACTCATAGCGCCTAAGATGTACGCGTGCCCGATTAATATACCGCCACAATCACTTCTACGAAATATATCCTATATAAAACAAATTATACAACGCTGTTAATATATTATACATGATGCTATATATATATATATACCTATATATATAATACAATACTCTTAATATTACATATACAACAAAATAATTAAATATTATCATGCATATTTAAATATCATCTATACATATACTTATACATAATATATATATTGTATAATCTGCAGAATAGTATATATTGCATATAGTATATATATGTATACTTATATTCATTGGGGTGTATACACTGCGTTGCTTGCGTACAATGATGTAAGTGATATCCGGGTATTGTTCTAAGAAGGAATCATCTTCTCCACATTCCTGCAAACCCCAAGAAAAAGAAAAAGATGATGCATCAGCCTCTCTGTCTGTACCAGCTAGCTAGCTAGCTAGCTAGCTAGCTAGCTAGGCAAAGCCCTTGGTAGCTAACAGAGGTAACCCGAGAGCTAGCTAGCTTGAGGGAAAGAGCAGCTAGCTGTCTAGCTAGCTAGATACGCGCACAACCAGCTTATTATACCCCGCAAAGCTGGCTACCCATCTAGCTAGCTAAGTAGCTAGCTAGCTAGAGATAGAGAGATGAATGTAGTACCTGTGAAGGAATCATTTCTAGGAAGCTCTCCATCTCATCGCTGGGCAAAGTATTGAAGCTCGTCCCGGAGTCAACGATAACATAGTTCTTCGTGCCTTCTGCGCAGCAAAACTTTTTGTCTCCTACATAAATTGCATCTAACTCCACTTCCCAATAATGCTCTCGCACGACAGGAAACATATGAATAGGAGGCTCAAAGAAACGAGGGTCTACGCCTCCGAAGAATATTGCTGATACCTGCAGCAGCAGCAGCAGCAGCAGCGACAGCAGCAGCAGAAACAGCAGCGGCAACAGAAACAGCAGAAGAAACAGAAGCAACAGAAGCAGGAGAAGCAGAAGAAGCATAAGAAGCAGAAGAAGAAATAGCAGAAACAGAAACAGCAGCACAAGCAGCACAAGCAGCAGCAGAAGCAGCACAGTAAACTCAGGTGACGTTCTATAGCAGTTTCCATCACATAACAAACCCTTTAATAATTCATGCATGCATGCACGCATAAATGCATACATACATTCAATATATTTTATGCATGCGGAAACATCCAGATGCATGCATGCATGCATGCATGCATGCATGCATGGGTACATGCATGGGTGAAGCACTTGCATGCGTGCAACCTTTTAATAATGCATGCATGCATGCATGCATGCATGCATGCATTAATAAAAGGTTGCACGCATGCAAGTGCAGTTGTACGGGTCTTACGGGTGAGTCCTTAGCCACGTAGAAAGCAAATTCGCTTTTTTCTACGTTTGCCTGCTGAAGCATATTATCATAGATTGGAGTTGCGCCAGTGCTGGACATGTCCGGAAAACCTAATCCAACAATACCCTCGAAGTTGATTGACTTAGAGCGTCGGGTGTATATGCAGGTAACGCAAGACAAAAAGAAGAAATCGTAGAAAATAATTATATATATATATATTATTTATATATGTTGTTTATTTATATTCTTATGTATAATTGATACAGATATATTGAAGAGGAGGTAATGTGGTGTAGAGAAATAATAATAATACAAACAGCAAATAAACAAATACAAACAAACAGGCGCAATAAAGCAAACGAAATATAACATAAATATATACATATTCATAGCAATGTGCATAATAATATCCATAATATTATAAATATATATACGCATATATATATACACACATATGTATATTATATAATATATATACATATACATAACCATATATAAACATATATATATATATATATATATATAAACATATATATATATATATAAACATATACATACATATATAAACATATACATACATACATAAACATATATATATACATATATATATATATATATAAACATATACATACATATATATAAACATATACATACATATATAAACACATATATATACATATATATATAAACATATATATAAAAACATATATATAAAAACATATATATATAGGGTTTCTTACTTGGAAGATATTTCCATGTTGATTATGCCCTGTTTCTCTTTCTACAAGTCCGAAGGTTTGGCCGCGCACATCATAGGGGCCGAGTTTAAAATTATCAACGCCTGTTGAACCCTCTATTCTCCCAGTACCGAAGGTAATATCCAAATGAACAGGGGGACTAGTAAGAGAAAAAGTAGAAGATTTTGATGGGTCAAAGCGGGTAACTTTCACACATGTCTCGTCTGTACACCGCGAACTCACTACCCACAAATTCCTGCATGCAAAGAATACATACAAAAACAAATAATATAGAATTGCATTATTTTGTTTTGTTTTATTTTATACTTTTGTTTTATTTTATGCTTTTATTTTTAAGCACTGGTCTTCTTTATAATGCATGCAAACAATAAAAAACAAAAGAAAAAACATTTTAAGATATGTAATTATTAATTCCTTTAATAATAATAATAATAATATCAAATAAGCACATACTAAATAAACAAACAAATAAATAAGCAAACAAACAATTAAATAAACAAATAAGAAACAATAATAAACAGATCATAAACAAACAAACGCCAAATAATCAATTAGATAATAAACACACCGACAAACAAACAAATAAGAAAGTAGAAAACAGAAAAAAACAAATATAAACAAAACCAAGGAAACAAACAACAAAAAACAGACAAATCAATAAACAAATAAATAGATGAATAAGCAAACAAACGACGAACAAGCAAACAAATGAAAGTAAATAAATAAGAATAAATAAACATAAAACTAATTAAATAAAAATAAATAAACAAATAAAATTAAATAAACAAAATAAAAAAGAATATAAAGATTGCTTACGTGCTGCCCGTATCAAAGATTGGGCGGACCCACTGAGGAGGAGTGCCGATGCCCAACATACCGCAGAACTGACTCTGCAAAGATAAATAAATAAATAAATAAATAAATAAATAAATAAATAAATAAATAAATAAATAAATAAAT